TAATCTCTCTTGGTTCTTATTTTTCACCCTTGCCCAGCCCTCCCTTCCACCCCTCCATTCCTCCCTATTTACAAAGATTTTGTTCCTATTTTTCCCCAATGGATCTTTTTTAAAAAGTAGTTTCTATGAATTTGCTGCTGAAATAAATTCTCTATCTGTCGTGTGGTGTCCGATCCACTCTTCATTATTTCCTTCATCATTTTTCTTAATTGTATTGTAAAGTGCTTCTCTGGTAAGTTCTAACATCTGCACCATCTCTAGGTCTGTGGTCTTTTAAATTGTGGGTCACATTTTCATGCCCCTTTGTGTGTCTAGCAATCTTTAATTATATAGTGGACATTTAAGTACTGTGTAGTAAAACTTCCCCCTCAAAAGTTATATAAAGTAATAACTTCCCCCTCAAAAGGGCATGCCATTCCATTCTTCTTTTATGCTGCTAAATTTGGGGGCTGAGTCAGTTTGATCTCCACTTGACCTGAGGCTGGGCTTTGTTGCTTCTTTACTTTTGATTTAGCTCATCCATGGCTTCATGTGTTTTGGGGACTTAGGATCTGGGCACTAATGGGAATCTGCCCATCTTTTCTTGACTTTGCAGCTCGGCTGCCGGTGTTCGAAACTGTGGGATATTTCTTTCTGCTTTAAAGTCCTGATGCCTATTTTTAGGATGAATGTAGAAATTTCTTTTGATTCTCCATTCTACTTCTTATGAATTAAATAATCAACATGTGCTTAAATTGAGATTTTTGGTTGTCAGATTTCTTTACTAGCTGTCCTACAGAACATTCTCTGATAATAGGAATGTTTTACATACACTTTGACCAATATGGTAGCCACAAGTTACATAAGGCTCTGGAGAACTTGAAATTTGTCTGGTGCAAATAAGGAAATGAATTTTTAATATTATTCAATAGCTTTATATATAGCTTGTGGCTACCATAATGAACAAAGTAAGAAATATATATCCTACATTTATTGTGGTAAAGATAATAACCTAAAGTATACAGCAACAATGAGCAATTCACAGGATGGTTGATTATGCTTTTAAAATATACATGCTTTTCTTGACACCTGCCTTGAGACTTTTTGCCCTTTTGTTGAAATGTGAATCTTAAAATACAAGTCTGGGTTCTTTGTGAGGAATAGAACTTATGAAATTCAAACAATTTCAAATACACTGCTTTATAAACTAATACCTATACATTTTTCAATATCAACGAAGTGTTTGACCTCGTTGTAGAAGAAATCTCATTACAACAGAAATATAACTTTATTTCCTAAGGCTTTACATATCCTGTTTGGTAGACGCTCAGGAACTGCAAATACAGACCAATCTGAGCAAAGATAAATGTGTTATCCTGCTAAAAAGCTATGCAGACATAAGTAGAACTCAATTCCTAAAATTCTTAAATCACATCCCAGCCTGCCCCCTGATGAGATATACTTGAATACTTGATAGTGGGGCTAAGGGGTGGCCTGGGAACAAGTACTAATTTGGTGCCACCATTAAATTAGTTAAGTTACCTTTGTAAAACTACTTAGTTTACTAATCTATAGAGAAAAGTTACCTGTCACTAAGATCTCAAAATCTATAATTATATGACTTTAAGATTAGAAGGAATCTTTTTTTGTGTGATTTCTCTTTGGCCTTTAGACAGGATCGGTACTGAAAACTTTACAGCACTTTTTATACTTTTTAATTTTAACTATTCCAGTTCTGAATGCTTCGTAACAGAATAATAGTGATAATGTGACTGGCTCTGTTTTCCATTTATGGAATTAGATAAATGTTGTTGGGAAAGGAAATACTTACATATGCTATTTTTTCCTTCGTTGTAGCTGGACAAATTTGCCAGCATAAGAATTCCAGGGAGCAAGAAAGAGCGACCTCCTCTTCACAACCTGAAGACTGCATTTGCAAGCAGCGACTGCTCATTGGCATCTCCAGAGATGATGGAAAACATTCCAATGCCGCTGTTAGAGAATGAAGTCTTACAGCTTTTTGAAAAGATGATGGTAAGAGTTTTCTTCTTTATTAAATATTTCAGGAAAAGTTTTAGTTTTTGCTTATGTCAATGAAATTTTTAGACATACTTGGAACTCATGTTCCATAGGGTGATTCTAGATGTCATTTAAGGTAGCAATTTAGTCATAGATTATTTTTGAATAACAAAAGTAAGAGTAAAGAAAAACATCATACCAGTTTTTGTTTTTATATAGTATTTTGTATAGTATATTGTAGTGATACACTCCAATGTATCAACTGGTGTATTTTTGTTTTAAATAGATAATCTGAGTGGTTTGAGTTTAGTAGAATTTAGAAGATGGTCACAGTGCTGTACATCAAGTGTACTTATTTTCTTTTACCTTGTTTTGTTCCTTTTTTTGTCCTTAATATATCCATGCTCTTTTTGTTCTGCAGCACTTATGTCTGTAGAGTTGAACTCAATCCTTCTGGAGTGTAACTTTTATGGTAGAGATACACAGCATCCTTTGGGGCCGTCTTCATTGGGTTTTTAACTGTGATTCACTGACTTACTCAGCCTCTGGTTTTTAAGTCATCTGAAATAATTTGACCAGTAACCCAACTAATTTGAAGTATATTCAAACCATTTACTATAAATGAATGCAAATTTCATCTAAATATATTTACTTATATACGTGGTTCCTACTTTCAAGTTGCTTATCTCCTGGGATTCAAAACAAACATTTGAAAAATTAACTGAGTAAGAAATGCCAGAAGGCAGTATTTAATAATTAAGTTCTTTTTTTTTGGGTACCAGGGATCGAATTCAGGTCTTTGCGCTTGCGCAGCACGCGGTGAAACCACTGAGCTAAATCCCTGGCAATAATTAAGTTCTTTATAAGTTTAGTTTAGGAAGAAACTATTTTAGGTTTTGAGATACCTAGTTAGCTTTAGGAGAAACCACAAAAGACAGGATGTTATAATACATTAGGGGAATTTAGTACAGGCGGTGAACTAGGGCCAAGTCTTAACTCAGGATTTGGATAATAAGCAGAGGGAAAGCAATTTCTTGAGATGGAGGAAATAGAAGTGAGCAAAGATATAGAGCTAGGGTACAGAGAGGTCAGGAAAATTAGATTGGAGCGGAAACTTGGAACAGATAATGAAGGGATTTTGAATGTCAGTTCTGAGGAGTTGGTTTTTTTTTTTTTTTTTGAATCATGGTTTATTTGGTATATGTTTATTCTTGGAGGTGGGCGCTGGGGCTTGAACCCTGCCCTTCACTGAGCTCCATCCCCAGCCCTTTTTGAGACAGGTCTCACTAAGTCACTGAGTTGGCCAGGCTGGGCTCGAACTTTCGGGCAGGCTTCACCCCCTGCCCTGTACTGGGAATCGAACTGAGGACCTTGCACTTGCCAGGTAGGCATAACGCCACTGAGCTAAATCCTGGCCCCAGTGTTTACTCTTTTGCCTATTAGTTTTGACAACCTTATCACATTTTAGAGACATCATTGCATTGAGCCACTTTTTTACATATGAGATGAGCATGAAATTTGAGAAATATTAACAGCTGATCTGTCCATTGTTCATTTGAAATCAGTGTATTCACAACTACACTGGGTTGTATTTATTTGTGCCCAGTGTTACTCATGGAGCTTCAGAAATGCCAGAAAGGATGAGTGCCTAGTTTGTGTCTTTATAGGGTTTTTAATAAATGCCAGAGATTCCTAAATTTCCCTCACTGAATGTATATCTTTAGTATTTATTTTGCTTATATTTTATAAACTTTAGGCCTGGGAAGCCGATTTATTGTATGCCAACTCTTGGTGAAGTGCTAATTTTGGCTTGTTGACCATGCGTGTATAATAACTTCCCTCTTTTGGCATCATGAGTTGATATAATTTCAGCCAAGAACAAAGAAAATGTAACATTTTCTTGTTAGCCTTTGACACTGTTAATGAGACTTGCATGAAGATCACTTTCTTCTGTACTCTCTTTGAGACTTCAGGATGGTAAAATGCCCTTTCCTCCCTCTCATCCATGCATTATAAGTGGAACCACTTACCTTAATTATCCACGAAATTCTAGAATGGTACTTTTGTGGATCATTTGTGATTCTCTTCAAATTGTTTTAAAGAATTATAACAGTAGGTGTCAGCCAAGAAAGCAGAGCAACCCCCCCAGCCCCGCCCCCAGGGTCTTTGCACTGAGCTACATTTCTAGCAACCTGTCCCACATTTTTTTACACTTTGAGACAGGGGCTTGTTTAAGTTGCCCAAGCTGGGCTAACTAAGACTTATGATCCTGTTGCCTTCGCTTCCCAGTGTGCTGGGATTATAGAAATGTGCTGTTGTGCCTGGCTGTAAGTAGCTTATTGATGTGAAACATTTATGGAGTGATTTTTTTGCGGGGATGTAGTACTGGGGCTTGAACCCAGAGCTTTGCACATGATAGCAAGCTCTCTACCACTGAGCTACATTTCCAGCCCATTTTATGGACCTTTTATTATTAAATATTATTATTTATTACTATTGAATATTATTACTAAATATTTTATGACCACAAGCAGTTAAAAAGACAAGTACCTAGAAAGTACTAAACAGAGTTTATACTATTTTTTTGATACTCTTCAGAGAGGAAGACAATCAATTATAACAGTATGTACGGGGCAGATGGATATAGGCATTGTTGAAGTGATTACAGGAAACCTTATTAATTACTGGGCCAGATGACAATCTTAAGTCTGCTTGGCAGAAGATCTTTGCAATCAAACCCTCCCTTTACTCAGCAGAAGTAAAATGAAATTTTTGCTTTCTTAAAGCTGTTCAATATACTAAGGAACAAGGTAGTCACAACTAAGATCTTTTTCAAAAATAAGGAACAGACTTTCCTTCCCTGTTTGATTCTCTGAGTATATTGCAATATTCTGAAGAGAAAGACTGCTTTTGATTCTGAAGCTGAATGCTAAAGAGGCTGAGGAAGAGTATTTACCTTCTTTAAATGTGGATTTGTGGTATGTCTGAGGATTTTTAGGTACCATTTTTTTTTACTAAATTAAAGCGGTTTGTATAGAGAATGTTAGATTTAAACTGGATTTGAATTTTGGCCTGCAGATATCTGTAATGTGTTTATTAGTAAGAAGTTTCCCAAGAAAGCAATATTCAATAATCAGCCATGTTAACTTTTTAGCATTTGTGTTTAGAAGTTTCATACGATTTAAAATCTCTTTATCCGGGTTCTTTATTTTGGCAATGCACAATTTAAAAAATCATTATTCTTATTTATCAATTATCAAAAGTATTTAATTTTTACATGGAGTAAAAACTGTTTTGAAGAACACCTCTTGTCTCTCCTCTAGACAGTCCTTTGAAAGACTGTTACTTGATTACTTAATCAATGCGAAGTACAGTTTCATACTTCAACATTTGTACTCATTTTACCTACATTTAGGAAATCAATTTACTTGATCTCTGTAATAGTCTGGTTTTATGTCTTTTGCTGAAATAGTGATGAAGTTTTAGTTAAGCTTTGTAAGGGCCTTTTCCTTGTTTTTCTTTTTATATAAGATGAATTTTTAGCTGAAAGCCCACCCTGGTTTCTCTGTAGATCTTAGATATATGAAATAGTTGTGTTCCTCACTGTATATACAGTTTTGATTTCTGAAGTCAGGTTCAGTGGTTACCTTTTGCATTCCTTGTAGACATGTGTTTTTTGAATGAGGTGGACATGATAAATGCAAGTTCAAAGTGACTTGTTTATTCCAGCTGCTGGCTCTTTGAACCAGCCCTCTCAGCTTGTTTTTTTTCTGACCCTGGATAAAATGCTAGGCAGATCCTAGAGCTTTCTTATTGTCTGCCAGTAATAATGACACTGGATTAATATAAATGACAGAATCATTATCTAAAGATAGCTGATCCTTTTCTCCCTTCAAGCTAGCTACACTCTACAGTAGGGGTCGTTATTAGGGTGGAGTTGGCCTGTTGGCTGTCCTTACTTCTCTTCCCTGCTTTCTTTGCCAAGTCTGTCTCCTTTTGGAATAGGGTTTTAATAACCTGCCATTGGTTTCCTAGCAGGTTATATTAGTTTCCTATGCTGAATAACAAGTTACCATGATTTTAGGGGTTTAAAACAACACAAATGTGTCATAATTCTGTAGATTAGAATTCTAGGTTGGCGTCACTGGTTTGGTAGGTTTCACATGGTTGAAGTCAGTGTAAACTGTTTGGCTCTTAGGCTCTGTGAAGGATTTTCACAGTTTGTTCATCTAATTCTTTGAAGGTGTAGAACTGAAATCCTTGTTTCCTTGCTGACTGAAAGCTGGGGTTTACTCTTAGTTACAAGAGGCTTTTGCCCTGTCCTTTACATGAGGTCCTACATTTCAAATGCTTCAAATCCATCTCATGCTTGGGATTTTTCAGGCTTCTTGTTTTAGTGTACCAGGCTTGTGTCTATCCAGAGAAAGTTCTCTGCTTTAAAGGGCTCAAATTAGATTAGGCTCACCTGGATAATTCAAGATAATCTCCCTATTTAAAGTTTATTATTTTAATTACATTTGCACAGTTCCTTTTGCCATGCATTATAACACTCACCAGGTTCAGGCATTAGGGAGGGCAGTGGGCCTCTTTACAGGGGCCAGTCTGCCTACCACAGGTATGGAAGATGACAAATGCTGATTCTTTGCTCCTTAGGTATCATGGCTCTGCTTCCTCCTAATCTCACCTGCAATTCCCATGTTACTGGTGACTTCTCTTTTGTCTATCTGTCCTATCTTTCATGAGTCTATTACTCTGCTTGAGTTACCTTTTGGATGCAGCACTTCTAAGATGACTCAGGCCTGAATTTTCCCTGGGATCCACATTCTGCTAATATATCCTTTGTTTTGTTCCTCCAGACCCTTTTTTCTACAGAGTAGTTCACTCTGGCTGTTTCTACCAATCATTTATAATTTTTGCAGGGTTTTGTTTCAGATGTTTACCCCTCTAACTATAAATAGCTTTTTTTTTTTTTTTTTTGGTACCGGGGATCAAACTTGGGTCCTTGCGCTTGCACA